TATGACCAAAACGGCTGAAAAACCATACCCTTTGGGGCCGCACAGACCTATATAGCCCATATAAGGGAGTTACCCCCCCCCCCCGGGGAAGGGCTACGTGATCGGTGAGTGAGGGAGTTATGCATGTGTGCCTGTCAGACCAATCACAGTGTGGGTTGTATCAAAGAACGAATAAAATTGCCTGTTAGAAAATAAGATGGTATCTACATTAATCTGGAGACGTGTCAGATTACTGCAGTTTGTGCAGTCAAACATTTTATGGCTTACTATTTAGTTATCTTACCATTACCGATGTAACATCGTATGTACATCATTAACTCCCAGTTTGTTTCTTGCTGTACATCGCAACCAAAAAAACTTGTCAAATCAACCAAATCATTACTGTAAACAGTTCCATGAATGCTCCTATCTCCGAGAAAAATAACTCTTGCACGCCTTGCGTGCCTATGTTTACCAATCCTCAGTAAGGCTCTTCTTTCCTTGTCTTTTTCAATCTTTTGTTTTTCATGTGGCTTGCATTGAGAAAACCATTCCCGCCGCGTCCCATTTTACCTAATACTTGCAAATCTTTAACTATTTTTTACTTAGTTTGAGCAAACAAAGAGTCGTATAGAGCGGCTGCTTTCTCCCCTACAAAAGAGCCTATCGCAAAGCCGGCAAAATCTTCCTCGCTTTCCAAATACTCTTCCCCAAAGGTGACACAAGATCTTATAGTTTTGTCGGAATATTTCATGCTTTTCATAATTTCAAAACGCTCTTTCCCCAATTGGGCAAAACTCTCAATGAAAAATTTTTTAAAACTTTTTTAAAATTTTTTACAAAGATATTTGTTTTCAAAAATCTCTTTGATTTCATCAATAACTTCAGACACCTCTTCGTCGTATTTTTCATTAATTTTAATGAAATAATCGGTTGCCTTTTTCGCTTCATGCTCACGATCTGTGTTGTTGTTAGTATCCCCCATTTCCTCTTCAACCTCAGGATCTGTTTCGCTGATGTTACTCGACATTTCCTCTTCGAACACATAATCTGTCTTGTTCATGTTCGCCATCGGTATAGAAGATTCTCGTAAACCTTCAATTGCCTTTTTTATCTCAGGTCGTCACTTGTTCTATTCTTTTTTTCGGACAGCCATTTTTTTATGCTTGTAAACCGTCGTTTTACGCAACATTTTACCACATACTGGGCAGCTTTCTTTAGGAAGCCTTTCTGTTTCCAAATTTTTACAACTATATTTTCTGTGCCTTTTAAGCGAATTCAATTGAGTAAATCTCTTGCCACAGGCGTCGCAGCAATAATTTGTCTCTTTTTCTTGCTGCGGTTCAGGTTCAAGTTCGACTTGTTGATTTGTTGTAACGTTGGGTAGATGTTGTTCGATCTCTTGAAAATCCTCTTCCGTGGGTACGTTGTTTGCAAGCGCCATCTTTATTCAACATGAATACAAACCTTTAAATAATTCTTGAAAAACAATGGACCTTTTTTCCAGTCTCACGCTCCAAAAAAGGTAAAAAGTTTCACCGCACATGTTTACGAAATACTGCACAATTAAATCACACAAAATGTTACCTATTTTCACGTTAAATTCCTGATCAGTAAGACCTTCCAAGGGTAAATGATTTTTCTCTACATCTTTCAAAGGTGAATTAATCAAACGATTTAACATGTTTTTCACAATTTCAGGTTTTTGTTCTTCGGGCGTTGCCGAAAAATTTCCTTTAAAAAACCTCACACAGTTCTTTTGTATACTCCTTATTATAATCAAAAGGATTTTTTAACAGTCCCACTTCCCCATCTGAAAGATTGTTCATGTTTTCAGCTGACTGGTTGATAATATCTGCCATCTCAATACAATATACTTGCAAACCTTCAATTATGTTTTTTTTCGCGGTCACTCCTCTTATGAAATATGAGCGGCGTTTCGATCGTTTAAGTGCGAAGAACCTCACCCCAGCGTTCACGCCTCCAGATATTCCTCCTCTCGACCGATTCGAAAAAACTGAGTAACCCTTTCAATTCAGACAATGTCTTTTCGATTTGTTTTATATAAACAGCCATGTCTTGAAAAAGCTTGACGTCGATTGGGCCTCCATATACAAAAATTCTGACAATGTTCAAAAGTGGGTGTGAAAACAGACGCAGGCAGTAAACACACGTGGATAAGGGGGTTCTGTGAACGAGCAAGTTTGGGTTTATTTTTGAGGCGAGCCGCGAAGCGAGACTCAAAAGTTAAGCAAAACTTGCCCCGGCCCCAGAACCCCCTTATCCATGTGTGTATCAATATGGTCTATTGAAATAATACCCAGCTGCTTATCAGATAACAAACCCAATAGCCTTGGGCTAGAGGAGAAAACATACTGAAGATCATACAAAAGCTTAACTGATCATGTAGGTGAGCAGATTACATGCCATGTGTGATTACAAGCATACCGGCAGAAGCCATTATACTCATGTTCTACCAATTTGATTACAAGTACACGTATGAAGGAGCCGACTAGATTTCTTCCAGAACTTTGTAATTGATACATTAATTAACTTGACGTTACAAAGCTTTCGGAAATGCGACCCAGTTTTACAAAGTATTCTTGTTGTAACCAAGTTCTTCTGACAACTGTGTGAAAAGCCATGGGTTAAATAAGCATGATTTTGCTCAAGCAATTTGGAATAAGAAGTCGTTTAAAGTTTTTAAACTACGACAAAATTTTGCTAGCCGTTGAAAAATTTACTGGTGCTTGTTTATTCCAAATTGCACTCGAAATCACGTGATTACCTATACATATAAAGTCTTGACTAAACTATATGCCATATTGCGGTCGAAGTGCATTTTAACAATCCCCGTTCCTCTTTCTGCCAGAAGAACAGGGTAGAGAAATCATCCAGCCTGCACGTACAAACAAGAATCGACAGAATTCTATACATTTACATCAAGGAGAATTTTGCTGATTAGAGAATTACGTAAGATGAAGAATAACAGCAAAATTCCGCCAGTTTCCTTGTTCGGGTGTCCTTAGATCTCCCACTATATCTTCAGGCCTGTGATAAAATGACGTTAATAAATATTTGAGACTATTAAAAGCAGAAAAATATTTGGTTTGTGTATTCTAGTTGCAGAGTACCGTACATGTATCAACTTAATTAACAAATGACTACTTGTTTTATGGTTACTATACAATTGTCATCTTCACACTAATCTTGACTGTATTGCCTCTCTTTCCCAGCTTTTTCATATATATAACACGTATAATTTCTTGTGCCTAAGCATAGTTTATATAAGGGTTTTCATAACTAATTGTTTTTTTTTGGGAGCCATAATTTTCTTGACTCTAGAAGAAGCCCCTTTTTGATCCGTGCTTAAATTCAACCTGCATGATGTACATTTTTCATGGAAAACACTGTTGCAGTATTATCAACTTTTCATATGTGGTACTATCAAAATATTCCTTCTGGTACAGCGATCACAACAACTTACTCCTTTATTTATATGTTTTAAAAATAACTCTTGCAACAAGGTCAATTTCTTCAAGAAGTTGATGCACGAAAGAGACACCTTAAAAGCTTGCCTATTGGTATGAGGTAGGTGTCCACACAAACAATTTGACAATTTATTGTAAAAAACAAATTGACGACAGTTTTTCATGCGTCTTTCCTGTTATTGACAATGATCAACAACAAGACAGACGCATGAAAAACTGATGTCAATTTGTTAACTTTTCCTTTCTGTTTTCATTTTGCTATGTAATATAACCCGGCACTTTGTGTTCATTTTCTCTAATAAATAAAATGCACGGTTACCAAGCGTAGTACATTTTCATACAGGTGACAACGTAACGCAGTAAGATGTGTTATACGTTTAAGGGCACGGAGTATTCTTAACTTTAAATATTCAAGGTTTGCCCTTATTACAGAATACAACGTAGTTCTTTTCAATTCTTTGTAAAAACATTTTCTCCCTAAAATTTGGCCTTCTAAACATGGGTTCAGCTTACAACGAAACCAAGAAGCTAAGCTTATCTGCAAATGTTTATGGCAATATATTATTTTGGGTGCCCAGTTAAACAAGGTTTTTTGTGCCTTCTTTCTTTCTAGTACAAGTAAATGATGTTGTCATTGGAGAGGAAAAGACCAGGCTACATGTGAAATGACAAAAAAGTGCTACAAAATCAAAACTGTAATGAATTACTTGATACACTAACACAGGTGTATGCTACACAGGCAGAACTACCAAACGTATGAATCTTACACACTCTGATTAGGTGAATCTGCATGTATTCTAGATGCTGACTGGTTGTATTTTGAGCATGTGATAAGGCTATATGGGAAGCTTGTTGAACATACACTCTCAAACTCATTAATAATTCATTAAGTTTAAACAAAGGAAAGGATGATTGTGGCGGTGTTTGGATATCTGATCTTAATTAGCATAGATTTTAACGATTTTATTTCTCCGTTTTCCGCTTAGTTTCAGTCTCGATTGAGAAGCTATATCAAAAACTCAAGACAGTGTTTCATAACATTTCCAAACACTTTGAAGTTCGTTAAAAAATACTCTGCTGCGCGCCGTATTTTCAACTCTCTTCTCTGTGTTTGGAAATGTGGTCAAATACGGTCTTTTGTGTTTGATATATTACATCTACAGCATTTTTCATGGGCGAAGATATGAAATAAAGAATGTTCACAGCATGAAATTCTCTCTAAATCTAATAACTTGAAAAGATACCAACCTCAGCTCCTTTTTGTTATGAAGAATATGAAAGTTAACTGCTGGTATCAACAGTCTTAGAGCCATCCTCATTTTGAGAGAATCCACTGTTTCCATTTCACCAAGGACAATTCTGTTGGAATCCAAAATACATTGTACTGAGAATTCTAAATGATGGCACCTGAACAAAGCAAGACATGGATCCCACAAAAGAGCTACATTGCATTGTACCATGCATGCAAAAGGCTATCTCCCATTAGCAATATCAGGCTGCGAAGGAAACCAGTTTGCGAGCATTATTTTTAATTGTTCGCAATTCAGTATAGTAAACGATTCGAGTAAGATGAACAAACAGGTTAACTTTGTGTGTCTCTCATCAAATTAGGGACATTTACAACTAAATCTTTTGCTGTAGTTAGACAACTACCAACTCATGTCAGAAACAATAATAATAATAATAATAATAATATGGGCATTGGGGTAGGACAGGTTGGTACCTTAGCCTACTACGGGAATATGGACACTCCCGCCCACCAGAGTCTGGGGTTACACCTTTGGCAAGTGTCAACAACCCCTAAGCCACCCACGTTAGGGTCACAACAGGGGGTAGGAGGGGCTCCGTAGTCTTGGTCGACAGC